TATCTTCTTATGTTTTTAATGGGCAAATGTGGCCTGATTGCTTGAATAATTGAATCAAACTAAAGTTGTGACCCGCAGTACTAAAAGAACTAACAGTTCATAGAAAATGGCTAAAAAGCTCATTGAGCAAACGAATTGGGTAGACGAACGTTATTAGCGAAAACATGAACCTGACGGATTACATGTCAAGAGTAACATAGCAATTACAGGAACCAAAATAAGCGATAGATGGCCGATAGATGGTAGGCTATACCATTTGTGAACTAAATTGACCAAATATAGGAACTGAAAGAAAAATAATTGGGCTATTCTGGAACGGGGAAAGACTAAATTAAAAACTAAAACTAGTTCATTGAAAAAACAGCTGGAGTAAAAATGCTATCTTCAAATGAACTAAAATGGCCAGGACTTAACAAAAATTGATGGATTGTTATCCATCCTCTCTATGAGTCTACATTGAAGACCCTCCAAAAAACAAAACCACCCGAAATTTTCTAAGTTTGTATTGACATATTTGAAGGGTAGTTGCTATACATGAATCAAAATAAGCAAACCTGATGTTTATAATGGCCGATAGATGGTAGGCCATATCAGCTTTGAACTAAATTGAGTAAATAGAGGAACTGTGAACTGGGGCATTCTGGAACGGGGACGACTTTACTAGAAACAGAAAAAAAAATAGCTGGAGTAAAAATCAAATCTTCAAAGACTTAACAAAACTGGACAGATTGTTGTCCACTATCCTCAATGAGAAATGTAGCAACTACATGAACCAAAATAAACGAACCTGATGTTTATAATGGCCGATAGATGGTGGGCCATACCAGCTTTAAACTAAATTGACCGAATGTAGGAAGTGAAAGAAAAATTGGGCATTTTGGAACGGGGAACGACTGTACTAGAAACAGAATTAGTTCATTGAAAAAATTTCATCTTCAAATGAACAATAATGCCCAAGACTTAATAAAAATTATTGGATTATTGTCCACCCTCCTCTATCAGTCTACAGTTATGACCCCTCCAATATACCACCCCAAAATTTTCTAATTTCCTAAATAATAGCCCTGCTTGCGTAATATTTAATTCTCTTTTATTTAATTTTCAAACGAAAAAGAAAGAAATCTTTAATTTGTCATTCATTTCAATGTTCGTATATTGTATTTCCTTTTACCTCAAATAATTTCTAACCACATTTCCTTTAACATTTATTCCTTCCTCCATTGCTTCCGAGATTCCCCTCCCCTCCACATTACCCCCACACCAAAAAACCGAGAAACAAAAAAAAAATAATTGCATACTTTTGTGCGTATTGCTTGAATTATACAATCAGAATATATACCTTGTACCAATTATTGTGTTATATGATCTTGGGTAGTCACATTTTTTGTTTCTTTTGCTTTTTGCAATAACAACAATGTCTCAATGACGACAATGTTCTTTCTCTTTGAGCCATGAAATAAGGCATGGAAATAATGGCAGCAGCAAAAAAAAAAATATGGCACACAGAGAAGGCGAAGAAGAACAAAAACGAACGAACCCTCCAGTGTAGTTGTGTCACATTTCATACGCAACTAAGCCTGAAATTATGCCAAAGAACCCACCCATCCATCCATCCATTCGCATTTAGCCAAGTTACAGGTATACCACTACTTGTTCTCTTCATCTCCACCCCAACCACCCACTACCCACCTACCCATAACATTATAATTTATTAAGACGCTTGCAAACAATGGGCACACAAGTAATTGAATATTTAAGCACACAAGAGGCCGCCAGCCAGCCAGCCCGCCCACCCACTGCACACGGGCACAAAATCATTGAAACTAAAGAAGGCAAAAAATCAGACAGCCAAAAGGAACCATGGAAAATGTAAATGAGCAAGGAGCAGCAGAGAAAGAACAACAACAAAATTATTCACAACTTATGAAATCATTGTCGAGTTTAACCCATGGGGTAGAAATGCCGAGAATGAGAAAGAAACAAAGCGGAGAACAAGGAAAAAATCGTGGCATACTTTGGGGAGCATATTATTAAATAATATCAAAGAATAAAGAAAGAATAAAAAAGGGAAATTGAAAATTCAAACATTAAATCTTGTCATCAAATCTTCATGTTCATGGCCTGCCATTACAAAAATATGAGTTCCTCTACAAAAAAAAAAAAAAAAAAAAAACAACAACAAAAACAATCAAATTTTCTCCACAACAACTTCTTCTCCTTCTCGTATTTTAACTCAAATAATTATAAAACTTTAAGGAAACATCTGACAATAAGTACCCATTGCTTGGCGGAGTTTTGTGGAGGAGAAAGAGAGACGAGGAGGAGAGAGAGGAGATCGAATTGTTTTTAGAAACTAGTTCTCTGCTGCCACTTGCCTTGACATCGTGACAATAACACCCAGCGACAGCCAGCTAACTTTGTTTTCCATTATTGCCTCGGCCCAATAGTGTCGTTTTGAGTTAAACCAACAGCAACAGATGTCAAATGTCATGACCTACATTCAACACAAAAAGGATTATGCTAGAAAATAACAACAGCAACAACAGCAGCAACTACAACAAACACAACACCAACTTTTGGTACAAAACTAAAAGTGACAGGAAATCAGTGAAGCGATAATAATCGCTTAGAGAGATTATTACAATAAGTGTTGTGGGATTTTGGGCTGAAATGTTTTCTTTTTTGAGACATATGTTTTGGTCGAAGGCCAGAGGCTCTGATATTTCTTAAAAAAATGGATTTTAGGTTGGAATTAGGTGGGGTTAAGAACTTTGGAGACATATTTTGAAATTAATTCTGGGAAATTTTTCTTTAGTCATAAAAGAGGATACACTCTCCAAAATATATTTCAGGACTTACAAAAGGTTCTGCAAGAAATTGTTTGAAAATTTGCAGATCGAGTTCTTATGACAACCAAAAATTGATATCCGAATTCACAAGCTCTTCAAAACTTTACGTGAAAATCCATGACTTAAAATCTGATAGCTTTCAATTATTTGGAACAAGTCTTGATTGGCCCATTTCCGAAGGAATGGACCAATATTGTCCATTTCGTATCGGATCTAAATAAATATTATATAAATAATGCGACATGCCGGGTTTGGACTATATCGACTGCTACCTTCACTTTATATAAAGTATGTGATAATTTTTAGAAAATGTTAAAAGTGTGCGCGAATTACCACATATTGTCGATCAAAGTAGTCCATTTTCATACCTCTTCTAATCCAATCCAAATTATCTCTCAGCTATTTAAAATTGTAACCTTTGTTGTGAATTAGGTACCTGAAGGGGTTCGCAGAAAATCGTGACCTTTGTTGTGAATTAGGTACTAGAAGAGTTCGCAAAAATGTTTGTGTGTGTGAAAATTCGCGTTTTATGAGCTGCATGGATATTCAACATTTTGACCCTTTATGGGTGTGGTATCAAAGGAAATGGTCCGATCCCTCCCATCTTTATAACAGATCTTGTGTTGATGGAAATATTGAGATATACCAAGTCTTAATGCAATCGGATGTTAATTTCGCGTTCAACGATCTTCATGGATATTAAAAATGTTGACCTTTGGTGGGGGAGGTACCAGAAGTAATGATCCGATCCCTACCTTCTTTATAACAGATCTTGCGTTGATAGAAATATTGAGATGTGCCAAGTCTAAATGAAACCGGATGTTAATTTCGCGTTTTATGAGCTACATGGATATTCAAAATGTTGACCCTTTTAGGGGAGAGGTACCAGAAGGAGTGGACCGATATATTCCATCTTCAGAGCAAATCTTGTGTTATTGGAATTACTGAGATGTGAGAAATATGAAAAGAACCGAATGCTTATTTCGGATTTTAAAATAGTTTTGGTTATTCAAAACTTGACCCTTTGTGGGGGAGGTACCAAAAGGAATGGTCTAATCTCTGCCTTTTTGGTAGATCACATTTGTGTTGGTCGAAATATTGATATGTGCCAAGTCTAAATGGAATCGGATGTTAATTTCGCGGTTTAATGAGCTTTTTGGATATTCAAAATGTTGACCCTTTGTGAGGGAGGTACTTGATGGGGTGGACCGATATGGTCCATTTTTGCACAATAATGCAAATATTAGGATTTGCAAAGTTGTTATTTCGATGAGACACGTTTTGGCCTTATCATATGATATATACCCACCCTCTCTAGCCATATGGCTGGGGGTATAAAAATACAAGAGAGAAGCTTGTCCCCAAAATTATTATTAATTAATTATTAATGTTCGCAAATTAAGATTTCTGAGCCTCCCAAAAATTGAATAGAAAATTGATCTTTTAAAAAAATATCCGAGGTGGGAGGCCTTAAAATAAATAAATAAAATATCAAAAAAATCACAAATAAATCTCTGCTAGCCCTTTAGGAAAACAAAAAATAGAAAATTCAACTATATGAGTAGACTCTTCCAATCCTTCCGAAATTAAAATTCACGACAGAAGGTTCTTTCACGACAGAATGCTCATGAGCAGAGGGTTCATCCGAATTTTCAAAAAAATATTTTCATATCTACGAGAAAAACTTCTGATAATCCTTTATGAAATTCGAAAAAGTCTGCGAATAAATGAAACCATGAAAAGTAGAGCTCTGTAGACCTTTACAAAAAGTCTGAAAAATAGAAAAATCTGAAAGCTTGGATCCTTTACAGTCCTTGGTAAAAATATTAACAAATTCGCGAGTAAATCTCTGCTAGTATCTCAAGAAAAATATTGAGAAAATCGATGGGAGATTTTCTAAACCTTCAAAAAATTATAAATATGTGAGTGGTGTCCTTCAATCCTTCAGAAAATATTTTTAAAATCCACGACCAAAGCTCCTCTTATAATCAAAATGTTCCAAAAATGTTTTAAAATCTACAAAAATAAATGAAATTTTTCGTTATAGATCTGACTGTCTTTCGTTTTTAATTATTTTAAAAATCATTAATAAATCGTTTAAAATAATAGGATTTAAATTATTTTTTCTTTTTTCGACTTTTCTTCTTCCAGCAACTTTTCCGCTCACAGAATCCCGGTCTTGCTGCTGCCACAAATGCTGCTGCGGCAGCTGCAGCCGCTGCGGCGGCAACCTCTGCTGCCCAGCCTGGAGCACCCAATGGCACAATGCAGCCGCAACAAATGCAAATGGCTGCTGCCTCACAGCAATTTTTGGCTGCCCAACAGAATGCTGCCTATGCTGCCCAGCAAGCAGCGCCCTATGTCATCAATCCGGGACAGGATGCAGCACCCTATATGGGTTTGATAGCAGCACAAATGCCCCAATACTATGGTGTGGCACCATGGGGCATGTATCCGGGAAATTTGATACCACAACAGGGCACACAGCCACGAAGGCCGTTGACACCCTCACAGCAGGGAGCTGAGAATCAATCTTATCAGGTGAGATGTCGATTTTTTTATTTTCAAAATAATTGTAAAAATTGTTGTAAATTTTTGTTTTTAAAAGAAAAATATGTAAAATATTGTAAACTTGACAATATTTTGTATATATTATGAAAAAAAAAATGAGAAAAAAATAATACCCATCTTAAACAAATTTGTATTTTCTCTTTCTCTCTCTTCCCCAAAAAAACATTCCTAACCCCTTACCCCAATGCTTTTCCTGCTTTCCATTTAAAAAATAACCTCTAACAATAACTTTGTATAATAAAAAAACAACGAATCTAACGCAAACTATTTTTGTAAAAAACTCAAACACGTTCATCATACTCCTCGCGGTCGTCTGCCTACCATCAGGTCATACCGGCATTCTTTGATCAAAGCGGTTCGCTTGTCATGGGACCACGTACTGGAACACCAATGCGCCTTGTAAGCCCCGCCCCGGTACTGGTGCCTCCGGGTGCCGCCCGTGCTGGGCCACCACCACAAGGTCCACCCCAATTGTATCCACCTCAACCACAGACAGCACAACAGAATTTGTATTCACAACAGAATGGTTCAAGTGTTGGAGGTAAGATTTCAAAATATATATAATATAAATATTTTATATATACATAATGTATTTATTTGTTATATACATATTATTACATATGTATGTATTTATATACATACATATGGTTTTTATGTAGCCTTTGTAAACATAAGCGTATATTAACCCTGTTTGTTTTTAAATGGCCCAACCAATTTAAAAAAACAATTTATTGCCAACCAATAAAAATGTCCAAAATATTAGGATTTTATTTTAGAAAGTAATTTACGTGTGCATATTTAGGTCATCTGCATTTAATTATTGTATATAACTGGTTTTTATGAAACAAAAAAAAAAAAACAAAAAGATTTTTTTTAAGAAAAAGGGTCATAAACTCACTTTCGAAAATCCAGAATGGGAAAAAAACATGTGGGGTGTAAAAATGATTAACTCTCAATATTCATCAGTCGATTGGGCCTTAGCACTCATAATATTAATATAATATTATTAATATTTAAAAAAAAAAATACTAACATGTAAAATACAGAATTCCGAATTCCAAATTTTTGAAGAATAAGAAAAAGTATTTTTGAATGGCCCGTGTGCTAAAAATTCACATTTACTTAAAAAAAATTAACTCAACAATTATTTTTTTTAACATTCGAATTTTAGGAGAAAAAGTATTTTTACCGACCTTTGTGCTAAAAATGCACAATTACTTAAAAATAAAAATGTAACTCACGAACTATTTTATTTATTTTTAATATTTCAAATATTCGAATATAGCTCTAACAGTCCCACACGATCTTCTGGAAAATTAAATTCAAATCCTTTTCTAAGAAAAAAATTTTAACATTTCTTTCTGTGACTCATCACAACCATAATATATATACCCTCCGTAGCCATATGGCTGGGGGAGGGTATATATCATTTAACATGACCAAATCGAAATAACGGTTTTAGACCCTGGGTCTTTTTGGATCGTTTCAGGGCATTTGGAGTCGATCTAGCGATGTCCGTCCGTCTGTCTGTCGAGCTGGTGCGCACGATAACTCTCGAAGGGAGCATCCGGTTTGATCCAAACTTGGTAAAATCGAGTTCGAAGATGGGCAATATCGGTCCACTGCTTCTAGTACCTCCCCCACAAAATGTCAAAATGTTCAAAGAAAATAATTGTCTGCACAGAAAGAGAAAGGATAACCCGATTTTGTACCAACTTTGCAAATCCTAATATTTGCATCAACGCTAGATCAGGTGCAAAATGGACAATATCGGTCCATCCAATACTTCCCCCACAAAGGGTCAACATTTTGAATAATTATAACTCTTACAAAATGTGATATAAGTGTCCGATTGTTCACACACCACAATATTTTTATTAACCCCTAGTTTGGTGTGAATATGGAAGATATCGGACCACTTCTTCTGGTACCTCCCCCACAAAGGATCAAACTTCTGAATATACATGAAGCTCATAAAACACGAAATTAACATCTGATTCCATTCAGACTTGTCACATATCAATGCTTCCGTCAACAGAAAATCTGTTAAAAAGATGGTAGAGATCGGACAATTCCTTCTGGTACCACCCCCACAAAGGGTCAAAGCTTTGAATAACTAAAAGGATCATAAAGTCCGAACAAAGCGTCCGGTATTTCACACCTCCCATTATTTCCACCATTTCAAGGTCTGCTGTGAAAATGGGATATATCGATCCACTCCTTCTGGTACCTCCCCCACAAAGGGTCAACATTTGGAATATCCATTAAGCTCATAAAACGCGAAATTAACATTCGATTTCATTCAGAATTGGTGCATCTCAATATTTCTGACAGCACAAGATCTGTTATAAAGATGGTAGAAATCGGACCATTCATTTTGGTACCTCCCACACCAAGGGTCAAGGTTTTGAATAACCAAAACGATTATAAAATCCGAAATAAGCATCCGGTCCCTTTAATATTACACACGTCTGGGGTGAAGATGGAATGTATCGGTCCACTTCTTCTGGTACCTCCCCCAAAAACGGCCAACATTTTGAATATCCATGAAGTTCATAAAACGCGAAATTAACATCCGATTCCATTTAGACTTGGTGCATCTCAATATTTCCATTAACACAAGATCTGTTATAAAGATGGTAGAGATCGGACTATTTCTTCTGGTACCTCGCACACATAGGGTTTAAGATTTTGAAAAACAAAACTCAAATAGAGCGAAATAAGCATATAACTCTCTTCAAATTTCACACACACAAACATTGTTGCTTACACAAGATCTGTATTTGATGAAGTGTGAAAATCGAATACTTCGGTCGACTATATCTGGTACCACACGCACATTTCAACATTTTCGAAAAATTATCACTTATCTCATATAAAGTGAAGAAAGTGGTTAATATAGTCCAAACCTGGCCCGCCGCAATATTTATATAATATACATTTAAATCCGTTACGGAATGGACAATGTTGGTCCAATCCTTCGCAACCTACTCCATACAGGGTCAACAATTTAAATAATCATAAATAAATAAAATAATCAAACATTGCCTGAGGGTATACATCTGTCGGCAAAAACCAACTGATACTTTTTAACTTGTTTGATTTTCAATTTTAGCTCTGAATTCCTTTTTTTCAAAAATTCAAAATTACTTAAAAAAAATAAAAATTTAACTCAAGAATTATTTTTTAAATATTTGAATATAGCTCTAATAGGTTGGCGCAATTTTCTGAAAAATTAAATTCCAACCCTTTTTTTAAGAAAAAAAAAATCATATTTCTCTCAGCAACTCATTAAAAAATGCTTCAAATTTAGCTCCGAATTCTGGAAAATTCCATTCTAATCCTTTTTTCATAATTTAAGCTTTCGCCATTACTCCCGGTAACCTCTCCTCATCACAATTTGTATTCCTAGAGAGAACATTTGCTATCCAATTCTATTTGTGAATTGTTGTACCCCCTTCCCATACCTGGCCACCATTTTCATTCAATTATATTTATTTCAAACGTCAAGCGCCAACATGCCAACCAACCAGCCAGCCAACCTTTAGACAACTTTACGTGTTTTACTCGAACCTCCTATTGCAAATGGACTAAAAGCTTATTTCACCTGACAATTACCTGTCTGACATATTCAATATTGTTTGTAAAAAGAAAATCGATTTTTCTTCAAACAAGCGAACAAAAAAAAAACAAAAACGAAACACGAACAAATCCCAATAAAAACTAACAGGATTCAAGTGCCACATGAAAACTTGGAACAAAATGAAAATAAATAAATAAAAGTAATGTAAAAGGATTTAAAAAGCGCTTTTCTTTTTTCAATTTATTTGTGGAAAAAATATGAAATATGGGAATGAAATGAGGATGACAGTGGCAGAGAAAATATATGTCTTATTGGGAATAGTTGTAACAGTGGGCTTATGAATTAATCCAGTTATCAAACTTTGGAATAAGTTTGGTAATATTATTTCAAGAAAATTTTCCATGATTGACTCTTGGCATATCTAAGAGAAAGTCTTCAATATTAATAAAAACATTTAATTTTTTTATATTTATGGAAGAAATGATGTCCACAATTAGCCTCCAAATGTTGTTTCATTACGCTGTGCAACACAAAAAATAATTAATAACAGTGAAAAGAAAAAAGAGCATATCATGGAAATTAAAATTGAAGATTTGTGTAATGTCATTTTGAAAATTTACATCGAAAAGTAACCAAAATATAGGGGAAGAGGGGGCTCTTCAATACTTTTTTTCCATGATGGCCTCTAGGCTTATCTAAGAGAACCGGAAAAATGTATATAAACATTTAATATTTTTTTTTATATATGTGGAAGAAATGATGTCCACATTTAGGCTCCAAATTTTGTTTTTACACTGTGCAACACAAAAAAATAATATATATCAGTGAAAATCCAGCATATTATGAAAGCTACAGTAGAAGATACGTGTATCGGTATTTTGAAATTTTACATCGAAAATAATATAGGGGACAAGTTCCCCTCTTCAATACTTTTGGATATTTTCGGATTACGATTCCCCAGAATCCGTACATTTTAGATATACAGGGTGAGATGAAAACACTGCAACCATCTTCAGACTGCTGCCATTTCTAAGGCACTCCTCCGACAGCTGTTAAAATTATTCCAGTGACAACTTATTGTTTACAAGCGTACAAAAGTATTTTGCTGAGAATTTTCCAGAAAAAAGTTTTTCGTGATGGAATTCAGGACTGATAGTGAGATTTCTTTATATTTGGCTGGTAAACCACAAGTAGCTATCGTTAGAGCACTCCAGAATTTAAACGTGATTAAATCACCATCGCTCGTTACCGTAATATGGTATCATAGCCCGACGTCAAGGAAGCGGACGGAAGAAAACAGCAACATCAGCAGAAATGGTTCGAAAAGTAAAAAAGGGACTTAATCGAAACCGACGTCGCAGTGACCGAAAAATGACTCGTGAGCTGAACATATCGCAATATTCCATTCGGCAAATATTGAAAAATGAGCTCGGGGTAAAGCCATTAAAATTCCAAAATTCCAAAGTGCAAGAACTTATACCGCAACAGAAAGAAAATAGACTCAAAAGAGTTGCTTCGCTTGGCCGAAAATGGCGAACTGCCGAATTTAAGTTTCTCCGATGAGAACAAATTCTATGTCCAGCAGTTTGTAAACTAACAAAATGATCGTGTTTACTTGCCAAAGAGGTCAGCTGAAAATGTGCACCTTCGGTTGGCCACCAGAATTCAAACGCCGGCCATAGTGACGGTGTGGGCCGCCAAAACAGCCGATGGTCGCTCTTCGCTCGTATTAATCGACCGTGGCATCAGAACAAGTGCCGAATATTATCGCGAAAATATTCTGAAGGGTGTATTAAAGCCTTTGGCACGCAAACATTTTCGCCGCAAACATTGGACATTCCAACAGGTTTAAGCACCATCACACTCAGCACTCGCCACCCAAGAATGGTTACAAAATGAGCTTCATTTCCAGCGCACAATGGCCACCAAAATCTCCGGATACCAATCCCTTGGACTAT